TCCTGTTGCTTGGTAATCACCGGGCGCCGGCGAGTAATCAAATTTTTAACGCAGACACCCTAGTGAATAAAATGGTGGGTGCTGCAATTTTTTTTATCTCACATAGTACTCACGCAGCGATTTTTCGAATGCACTTTTTTTTTTAAAAAAATACTTTTTTTATTTTAATGCACAAAAACACAATATATTGGCCAATTATTTGGTAAGATATAAAAGATGATGCTATGCTGAATAAATAGATACTAAACATGGCATGCTTTAAAACTGCACATGCCCTGTGCAATGGCAACAAATTGCATACATTTTTAATATCTATAGGCAATGCTTGAAAAGTCTTTACAAGCTACCATTTTAGATTTACAGAGGAGCTCTAGTGCTAGAATTACTGCCCTTGATCTGACTTTCATGGAGATACCTCACATGCATGGTGCAACCGCTGTCTCCATACTGGCACAGGGTCAACGCTCATGAACGCAGGTGCGTGCGTGCGCGGGGGTGGGTACTTTTTTTTTTTTAAAGTTATTTTGATTTATTTAATTATTTTTACACTGTCCCTTTAATTGTTTTTTTTAATCACTTTTAATGCTATCACAGGGAATTCAAATATCCCCTATAACTGTAACGGGCATTGTCATATATTCTTTTTTGAGAAATCTGGAGTCTATCAGACTCTAGATATCTCGTCTGCCCTTACATTATCTAATCAAACCAAGATTGATGCAATCAGATGCTTTCCCAACTTACAAATGGTGCTGTTTATATCCTGCGCAACTGAAGTGATGAAATGCTTGCAGCTTCTTATTTCTTAGACTATAGAGATGATTGGCACCTTTCAGGTCTACAATCAGCTCTATGGTCAGCTTGCACAAACACTAGCTGCATTCTCAGGTTCCCCCAATGGCGCGGGACTGCCCAAGAAGGCTGTGGAAGGCAGCGGGGGAGGGGGGCATTTTCTCCCGCTGCTTGTAAAAGCAATCCTGCAGCTAATTAGCCATTAGGATTGCTTTTACATGAAAGCCCATCGCTGGCTGAAAAAAACGATACCAGGAGGACACCTGGTCCTTGCTGGGTGTATATGCTATGTTCTTTTTTTTTTTATGCAGCCTGTGGGCTGAATGGACAAAAAGAGAAGAAATATCTGCCAGAAAAAGTGTGTGGTATGCCCACCATTAGAATAGCTCCCTGCATCCACCAACTTCTAATGGTGGGCACACATGAAATGTGCCAACAAATATTATAAAATATATATGCCGAAGCACAGGGGCCATCCACTCACTGGCCACCCCAGGCCCCCATGCTTCAGCATATATGCTTTTTCTTTTAAACTGCGGATGAAAAATCTCATCCAACAGCACTGCCCAGACTGATTTATGTATATTCAGAGAGCAAGTTCTTGTTGCTGTCAGAATAAACAGGTCAGTGCTGCAGCTGAAAGAATTCCTGCAAAGAAAACAGCAATGGTTAACAATAAAAACGGTAACAATAAAACAGTAAAAGTAGAACAATAACAAAAATGACAACAATAAAAATATAACTATATTTGGTTTTTAAAATTTTAAATTTTTTGGGGGATTTGTACTTTTTATTTATTTTTTTTAACTTCTTTTTTTTTCAAACTGTAACGTTTTTTAAAAACAGATGGTAGGGTCTCTCCAAATTGCAGTTTTCTGACTACCTAACATCTTTCGAGACCCTGTGTAAATGCGCCCTGAACTGTGCCGTGCTGTACCCTATACTAATACTCCACTAGCGTATGGTAGCGACGGAAGCAGTCCTTGATGCAGAGGCCAGGTTGGTCAGGACAGGAGGGACAGAAAAAGCGACTGTCACTCCTAATTCCATGTCTGCTACAGACACATCTTTTTTGGGGGTTCCTTTGGGTTGGGGTACCAGGAATGGCATCGGGAAAATGCCTCTCATGCAGCATCTGGGTTGGGGGTTGGGGCCACAGCACCTTCTGGATACAAAAGGGCCGTGATGATCTCTTCCTGGAATTTTAGGAAGGATTCACTATGTCTAGTTGCTTTGTAAAGAACAAAAGCGTTATATAAAACCAATTGACATAAATAAACAGACACTTTTTTGTACCAGCGTCTGGCTTTTCGGTAAACTAAGTACGGCTTCATCATCTGCTCGTTGAAGTCCTTCCCTCCCATGTTAAGGTTTTAATCGTGGACACAGAGGAGCTTCTCAACAACACCAGCTGCCGTAGTAATTTGGATGGTCGTATCTGCGTGAATAGAAGACAGGAAAAAAAACATCCCATTTGTCCTTCCACTTCACTGTGAGCAATTCTTTGTTTCTCAAGCAGGCTTTTTCCCCCTTTCTAAGACGGGTATTTACAAGCCGTTGGGGGAAGCCCCGGCGATTAGGTCGCACAGTGCCACATGTGCCAATTCCAAGATTGTACAAATGTCTAAATAGTGGCATGCTTGAATAAAAACTGTCCACATATAAGTGGTACCCCGTATGGAAAAAGGATGACGCCAAGTCCCAAACTATCTTGCCACTGCTCCCCATGTAGTCTGGGCATCTGGGAGGCTCCACATGACTATCTTTTCCCTCCTAAATCCAAAAAATATATGTATAGCCTGTTGCCCTCTCACAGGTCTTATACATGTTGACCCCATATCTGACATGCTTGATGGGGATAAACTGTTTGAATGCAAGGTGGCCAGAAAAATTAATGAGGGACTCATCAACACAGATGTTTTTCTGGGGAATATACACATCTGCACAATTTTGGTTAAAGTAATTTACAAGGGGCCGAATTTTGTGGAGCCGGTCAAATTTAGGGTCACCCCAAGGACGACTAAGTTTATTGTCGTTGAAGTGCATAAAACACAATATCACTTCATATCTATGTCTGGCCATGGCAGCAGAGAACATGGGCATATGATGAATCAGGTCTGTGGACGAATACAACCGCAATTCACTTCTTTTAGTAATGCCCAAGTTGAGGGTTAGGCCCAAAAAAACTTTAAATTTGGAAACCGTAATGGGTTTCCATACGAATGGTCTGGGAAGGTTTGAATTTGGGTTGGCGGCGATAAATTGTTGTGCATATCCACAATCAATGCATACAGATCATCTGTGAAAAACAGCTCCAAATAATCAAGGGGATTAATTAAATTTGCTGTTTCTACCTGAATTCCGGGTTGGGCAGTGAATGGGGAAAGTACAGGTGCTGCAGAATTTGTGGGCTGCCAATCGGGATTTGCAAGCACATCTGGAAGGATACTAGGGTCTTTACGGGCCTGTGTGCAAATTCTTGGTGGCCGCGGGACACTACTTGTGCTCGCCACCGCACCAGCTTGTACTGCACTTATGGGACTCGTCACGTCACCAAGTGATACTGCAGTGCTGGTATGTATAAGACCAGAATGTACTAGGCCGTTGGTGCTCGCCAGTTCGCCAAAAGGTAGCGCGGCACTAGTACTGGCACTCTGTTGCATATGAGAGTCATCATGCGTTTGTACCACCTCAGCAACCTGGAAGTGGGGTCGGGTATGCCTGATCTTAGCAGGGACCTCTTCTCTGTCGTCTGAGCTAACTGTCAGGCTGCCACTGCTGTCTACAGATTCGTATTCTGAGGCGGATTCTGTCAGTGAGTCTTCCCCTTCGCTCTCACCTGACATGCTCAGAATCCTGTAGGCCTCTTCACTAGTGTACCTTTGGTTGGACATTTTGGCCACTAAATTTATAGGTACCTAGTGCGACTCACGGGAAAAAGAGCACCTGGCTGTCAGAGACTGCCTGAACCGCTACAACAAATTTACTGACACGTGCTAACATAGATCAGGCCTGATTCTGTGAACACTGCGGTTTTGTGTGTAATGTATCAGGTGACAGTTATCTACTGACACTGCACTTGCTGGGGGAGAAGGGGAGGTGGGGGGGGGGGAATGTAGGGGCTAAACGCAGGTCCTGGCAGGTGTCGGGGCTGATCTCGCTAACGCTGCGTTTTTGGGGATGCTATACTAATGTGAACGCTGATCTGATCAAAAATATTGATCCGTTCAGACACTATACTAGCAATGGAGGTTTAGTATACAAGTGAGCGTGTTCCTGGCAATCAAGGGGTTAAATGTGATTACTTGTGTACTAGTGGGCAATCTGATGCTATCTGGGAGAGGCACTAACTGACGCTAATGCTATCGGAAGTTACCAGCATCACTAATACAGAGATCAGCAAAAAATCTGTACACTGTAATAATGACACTGGTGATAGGGCAGTGAAGGGGTTAAGTGGGGGGGCGATCAATTGGTTAAATGTGACCTAGGTGAGTTCTAACTGAAAGTGTAGTGCTTTGTACGCACGTTTTGTATGTCTTCTTCTCTCTCTGGGACGGAATGTGCCCAGGCAGAGAAGATTGACATCATATCCTGTCCTGTGTAACTGTCAACACAGGACAGGATAGGATAGGGACCGATCATCCGACTTCAGCCAGACATCGAATGATTGATCCCTCAAGGATCGAATCGTGACACCCATGGGTTGGCGAGGGTGTGCACCCCCCGCCCACAAAATCATCGGGAGCGTGAATCACGTATATATACGTAATATTGCGCAGCGGTGCCGCCCTGCCGCAGTATACGTACTGGGGCTGGTTGGCAACCGGTTAATATACACTTATTGGGATTTTGGTTACCAAATACATTTATAGCAGAAAGTTAAAAATATTTTTTTTTCAGAATGTCTTTTTTTCATTTATATACAGTGCTGTGAAAAAGTATTTTTTTTTTTTTTATATTTTCATATTTGTCACACCTACAGTGTTACTAAATTCACAACAGTAAAAAATCAGTGTGTATATGTCGGAAAGCATCCTCTTTATAGTCACTGTGGAACCTAAGAGGCTAATCCTCTGCATTATGTAAAAAGGCTGTTTTTAACCGTCTCTCCCGCCCATCCTATAAGGAAATGACGGATGGGCGGTGGTTCTCTCGTTCTGGGAGGACGTCATATGACGTCCTCCCACTCAAACTGTGAGTGCGCACCCCCGCACCCCCGCTGTGATCGGTGGTGTGCTGTGTCCCTGGGACACAGCAGATCACCGATCAGTGGAAAAAGCCGATGGCGTCAGCTCTGTCATGTGATCAGCTATGTCCAATCACAGCTGTAAATAAGGAAATGCCAGTTATCGGCATTCCTCTCCTCACGAGCTGTCGCGCTAACAGCTCGTGAGGAGGGGAGAGCCGGTAATCGGCATTCCTCAGAGGGGACACCTACACTGATCATCAGGGCACTGATGAACAGTGTAGCCCCATCAGTGCCACCTGTCTGTGTCCATCAATGCCACCTGTCAGTGCCCATCATTGCACATCAATGCCACATATCAGTGCCCATCTGAGCTGCCTTTCAGTGACAACTATCAGTGCCACCTATCTGTGCCAGTCAGTGCTGCCTATGAGTGCTGCCAATAAGTGCCAGTCAGTGCCGCCTATCAGTGCCGCCTAACAGTTCCAGTCAACGCTGCCTAACAGTGCCAGTCAGTGCCGTCTATCAGTGCCAGTCAGTGCTGCCTATCAGTGCCAGTCAGTGCTGCCTATTAGTGCCGCCTATCAGTGACATATATGAGTACTGCCTTTCAGTGATGTCTGTCAACGCCCATCAGTGCCACCTACCAGTGCCTCCTCACAGTGCCCATCAGTGGCACCTATTAGTGCAGCCTATCAGTGCCCATCACTGCAGCCTCATTAGCGCACATCAGTGAAGGAGAAAAATTACTCATTTACAAAATTTTATAACACCCAGTGGTGATTAAATACCACCAAAAGAAAGCGCTATCTGTCTCAAAAAAATTATAAACATTTCATATGAGTACAGTGTTGCATGACCGTGAAATTGTCATTCAAAGTGCAACAGCGCTGAAAGCTGAAAATTGGCCTGGGCAGGAAGGGGGTGAAAGTACCCTGTAGACAAGTGGTTAATATTGTCTTCTCTGATCCTCCCTTTCTTTCATGGTCCCCAATCCATCTGCTGATAGTATAGAGCCCTAGGGGGCACTCCGAACATGCTCAATTTGGTGTGTATTGCTAGAGACTTTTTTTTTTTGGAAGGTGCATGTGATCAACAAAGGGCCAATCAGCACTGTCCAGACAGAGGGTCAGGGGCCATGCAGCCTCATAGCACAGTCAGAGGAGATTGAAATCTCCTACTACAAGATTTAACCAGTGTTTGGCCAGACACTGATAGAAGTCACAAGACTACTATACACTGCTAATGAGAAAAGGCATTTAGCACTTTATAGTTACTAAAAAAAATTGCATTTCCATGTTCTGTGTACTGTGGAAGACCAGATATAGTGAATGCAGGGTTCTGGGTTTAGGAACACTTTAAATGATTCAGATTGGCAAACAAATTTTAATAGTACACCAAGATAACCTGAGTAAATACAAAATGCAGTTTTTAAATGATGATTTAATTCATGAAGGGAAAAAAGCTGTACAAACCTGCCTGGCCCTATGTGGAAAAGTAATTACCCATCCCCTTACTAAATCATGAATGAATTTTGATTAACCACATCTTTTGGAAAGCTGAGATAAATTTCACTTGCCACACCCAGGCAATTACTGCCAGACCTGTTGAATCAAGAAATCACTTAAATAGAAGCTGTCTGACAAAGTGAAGCATGCATTGACATGCAGCAGACTGGAAAGAGTACAAAGCAATTTCTAAGGCTTTGGGACTCCAGCAAACCACGGTGAGAGACAAATATTCACAAATGGAGAAAACTTGGAACAGTAGTAAACCTTCCCAGGAGTGGCCAGCCTACCAAAATTACTCCAAGAGCACAATGATGACTAATCCAGGAGGTCATAAAAGAAGTCAGAACAACATCTGAAAAACTGTAGGCCTCACTTGCCTCAGTTAAGCTCAGTGTTCATGATTGAACAATAAGAAAGAGACTGGGAAAAAATGGGAGAGTTCCAAGGCCAATGTTGACCAAAAAGAACACAAAGGCTTGTCTCACATTTGCCAAAAACATCTTGATTATCCCCAAGACTTTTGGGCAAATATTCTGTGGACTGATGAGACAAAGGTTGAACTTTGTGGAAGGTGTGTGCGTCCAGTTACATCTGACGTAAAACTAACACAGCATTTCAGAAACAGAACATCATACCAACAGTCAAACATGGTGGTAGTAGTGTGATAGTCTGGACCTGGACGATTTGCCATAATTGATGGAACTGGATGAATTCTACACACTACCAGAAATCCTGAAGGAGACTGTCCAGCCATCGGTTTTTGACCTCATGCTCTATTGCACTTGGGTTGTGCAGCAGGAGAATGATCCAAAACACACCAGCAAGTCCACCTCTGAATGGTTAAAAAAAACAAAAATAATGTTTTGGTGTGTCTTTTTCAAATTCTGGACTTAAATCTGACTGAGATGTTGTGGCATGACCTTAAACAGGCCGTTCATGCTCAAAAACCCTCCAATGTGGCTAAATTAAAACAATTCTGCAAAGAAGGGTGGGCCAAAATTCCTCCACAGCGATGTGAAAGACTCATTGCTAGTTATTGCAAACAGTTGATTGCAGTTGTTGCTGCCAAGATTGCTGCACAACCATTTATTAGGTTTAGGGGGCAATTTGTTTTTCACATAAGGCAATTTGTTTTTTCACATAAGTTCAGGCAGGTTTGGAGAGCTTTTTTCCCCTTTGTAGCACTTTCCTATTCAGCTAGGTGGAGCTCAATTATTAGCTAGGAGGTGTGATAGCTAGCAGGGGTCAAACTTTGGTCAGAGCTGAGAGGTTCTGCAGACCAGCCCTCTGGAATTTCCCCCTGCTCTAGGACGTTGGAGAAAGGTCTAGAAGCAGTGGGTGGATCTGAGGAGTGGCTGATCTGCACTTTTGAGGGAGTCTGGCCAATCCCCAACAAAGACCAGGACAACCGTTAAAAATGATTGAGCCTGCTCAGCTGCAGGAGAGTTCGGGTGGGAGACAGAGAGGAAGATGTGGGGCTGAGAGACAGGAACCTGGGAGGGGGCTCGGATAGAGAGAGGGAGAGAGAGGCTCACCTACAGGCAGTGGAGCTGGAAAGGACAAAAGCTCAGACCTTCACCTGCCCTCAGAGCGAGGGATGAAGCTGCCTGGCTAGAAGACCTGGTAGCAGCCACCATCCCACCAGTGGCATAGGAGAAGGTAACCCTGAACCCCCTGGGCCAGATAGGGGAAGGAGCACTCTGGTGGAAAATCAGATTCATCACCTACTGGGGCTGTTTAAGTTCTTAAAGGGACAGGCACCAGATCCCTTGCTCAGGGATACCTCCAGACAGCTGGGTGAAAGAGGAGTTTATTAGGGTTCTTGGGTGGTGCTACAGGAGATGCTGGCTAGCTCTCCAACAGACACTGTGTTGCAGTAGACTTGTAAATAGTTCCAAGAAGTGTCCTCAGTTCATCTGTTCCTTTGGGCATTCCATATACCCAAATAAACAAAAATCAGGAAGGGGGCAAATACTTTTCCACAGCACTGAAATAAATTAAAAACTTAGTGGTGATAAAAAAACACCAAAATAGAGTTCTATTTATGAGAAAAAAATTATATAATTTTCACTTAAGTACAGTGTTGCAAGGCCATGCAACTACCAGTTAAAGTAGTGCAGTGCTAAATAGCAAACAATTGCCTGGTTATGAAGGGGGTAAAATCTTTTGGAGCTTACGTGGTTAAAGGTATGCCTAGGCATCCACCTGGACTGCAATGTGTTTTATTTATGGTTGGGAGTTGTCAGTGAAAGTAGGTAGGTGGTCTTTTTCCTGTTCCTTGAGGGCCCCCTCAAGATACCAACGGTCACAGCTGGACACAGCTACGGGATCTCGGAAAGTGAATGCACTCAAGTCACCTCAGTTGCGATTGCAAACACTTCAGTTTTATTGGCATGACATCAGGGTTATTATACTGTAGTCTTTGGGCAAACACACCCTCAGACCATCCAATCAAATACATGTACATTTTTTTACCTTAACTCCACAATTATTTGTATGAGGTTTGCATTTTCACTCTTCTGCTTTATCTGTCACGCCATATCTGGTCTAACGCCCAGACCATGGCTGTAATCTGACCCAACGCCCAAGTTGTGGTTACAACTTTTCAGAAATGAGAGTAAACCTTATCTGCTTTTTTGTAAAGTTTGCAAAAACACTTATTTCTACATGAAGCTGGCATAGACAGTTTTGTTTAGTGTGTACAAATTTCATACATACAGTCATGGCCGAAATTGTTGGCACCCTTGATATTTTTTCCTGAAAATCAAGTATTTCACACAAAAAAGGTATTGCATTAACACATGTTTTGCTATACACATGTTTATTCCCTTTGTATGTATTGGAACAAATATAAAACAGAGGCAGAAAAGCAAATATGACATAATGTCACACAAAACCCCAAAAATGGGCTGGACAAAAGTATTGGCACCCTTAACTTAATATTTGGTTGCACACCCTTTGGAAAACATAACTGAAATCAGTCGCTTCCTATAACCATCAATAAGCTTCTGACACCTCTCACCCGGAATTTTGGGACCACTCTTCCTTTGCAAACAGCTCCAGGTCTCATCTTTATTGGAAGGACACCTTTTCCCAACAGCAATTTTAAGATCTCTCCACAGGTGTTCAATGGGATTTAGATCTGGGCTCATTGCTGGCCACTTCAGAACTCTCCAGCGCTTCTTTGCCATCCATTTCTGAGTGCTTTTTTGACGTATGTTTGGGGTCATTGTCCTGCTGGAAGACCCAGGATCTTGGACGCAAACCCAGCTTTCTGACACTGGGCCCTACAGTGCGACCCAAAATCCTTTGGTAATCCTCAGATTTCATGATGCCTTGCACACAGTCAAGGCACCCAGTGCCAGAGGCAGCAAAACAACCCCAAAACATCATTGAACCTCCACCATATTTTACCGTAGGTACTGTGTTTTGTTCTTTGTAGGCCTCATTCCGTTTTCGTAAAACAGTAGAATGATGTGCTTTACCGAAAAGCTCTATCTTGGTCTCATCTGTCCCACAAGACGTTTTCCCAGAAGGCTTTTGGCTTACTCAAGTACATTTTGGCAAACTGTAGTCTTGCTTTTTTATGTCTCTGTGTCAGCAGTGGGGTCCTCCTGGGTCTCCTGCCATAGCGTTTCATTTCATTTAAATGTCGACGGATAGTTCGCGCTGACACTGATGCTCCTGAGCCTGCAGGACAGCTTGAATGTCTTTGGAACATGTTTGGGGCTGCTTATCCACCATCCGGACTATTCTGCGTTGCAATCTTTCATCAATTTTCCTCATCCGTCCACGACCAGGGAGATTAGCTACAGTGCCATGGGTTGCAAACTTCTTGATAATGTTGCGCACTGTGGACAAAGGCAAATCTAGTTCTCTGAGATGGACTTGTAACCTTGAGATTGTTGATATTTTGCCACAATT